TAGAGGCTCAACTTAAATGTATACTCCAAAATTAAAAACATAGTAGAAGAACTAAAAAAGATCCACCGTGGTTTAACAACCAAGTAGAAGAAGCAGTGAGAGATAAAAAGGCATCTTTTAAAAAGTGGAAGTCAAATCCTAGTGAGGTAAATAGAAAGGAGCATAAACACTGCCAAATTAAATGTAAAAACATAATAAGAAAAGCCAAAAAGGAGTTTGAAGAACAGCTAGCCAAAACTTCAAAAGGTAATAACAAAATGTTTTTTAAGTACATCAGAAGCAGGAAGCCTGCTAAACAACCAATGGGGCCCCTGGATGATCGAGATACAAAAGGAGCACTTAAAGATGATAAAGTCATTGCGGAGAAACTAAATGAATTTTTTGCTTTAGTCTTCACAGCTGAGGATGTCAGGGAGATTCCCAAACCTGACCCTTTCCTTGTAGGTGACAAATCTGAGGACTTGTCACAGATTGAAGTGTCATTAGAGGAGGTTTTAGAATTAATTGATAAACTTAACAGTAACAAGTCACCGGGACCCAGGTGGCATTCACCCAAGAGTTCTGAAAGAACTCAAATGTGAAATTGTGGAACTATTAACTATGGTTTGTAACCTATCCTTTAAATCAGCTTCTGTACCCAGTGACTGGAAGATAACTAATGTAATGCCAATATTTAAAAAGAGCTCTAGAGGTGATCCTGGCAATTACAGACTGGTAAGTCTAATGTCAGTTCCAGATAAATTAGTTGAAACAATAGTAAAGAATAAAATTGTCAGACACGTAGAAGAACATAATTTGTTGGGCAAAAGTCAACATGGTTTCTGTAAAGGGAAATCATGAACACAGGCTCTTACGTAAATTAAGTTGTCATGGGATAAGTTAGATTTCCAGAAAGCCTTTGACAAGGTCCCTCACCAAAGGCTCTTACGTAAATTAAGATGTCATGGGTTTAGAGGGAAGATCCTTTCACGGACTGAGAACTGGTTAAAGACAGGAAACAAAAGGGTAGGAATAAATGGTAAATTTTCAAAATGGAGAAGGGTAACTAGTGATGTTCCCCAAGGGTCAGTCCTAAGACCAATCCTATTCAACTTATTTATAAATGATCTGGAGAACGGGGTAAACAGTGAGGTGGTAAAGTCTGCAGATGATGCTAATCTGCTCAAGGTAGTTAAGACAAAAGCAGACTGAGAAGAACTTCAAAAAGATCTCACAAAACTAAGTGATTGGGCAACAAAAAGGCAAATGACATTTAATGTGGATAAATGTAAAGTAATGCACATTGGAAAAAATAACCCCAACTATACATATAATATGATGGGGGCTAATTTAGCTACAACTAATCAGGAAAGAGATCTTGGAGTCATCATGGATAGTTCTCTGAAGACATCCACGCAGAGTGCAGTGGCAGGCAAAAAAGCAAACAGGATGTTAGGAATCATTAAAAAAGGATAGAAAATAAGACGGAAAATAGCTTATTGCCCTTAAATAAATCCATGGTGTGCCCACATCTTGAATACTGCGTACAGATGTGGTCTTCTCATCTCAAAAAAGATATACTGGCATTGGAAAAAGCTTCAGAGAAGGGCAACTAAAATGATTAGGGGGTTTGGAACGGGTCCCATATGAGGAGAGATTAAAGAGACTGGGACTTTTCAGCTTGGAAAAGAGGAGACTAAGGGGGGATATGATAGAGGTATATAAAATCATGAGTGGTGTGGAGAAAGTGAATAAGGAAAAGTTATTTACTTGTTCCCATAATATAAGAACTTGGGGCCACCAAATGAAACTAATGGGCAGCAGGTTTAAAACAAATAAAAGGAAGTTCTTCTTCACACAGCGCATAGTCAATCTGTGGAACTCCTTGCCTGAGGAGGTTGTGAAGGCTAGGACTATAACAGGGTTTAAAGGAGAACTAGATAAATGCATGGAGGTTAAGTCCATAAATGGCTATTAGCCAGTATGGGTAAGGAATGGTGTCCCTAGCCTCTGTTTGTCAGAGGGTGGAGATGGATGGCATGAGAGAGATCGATTGATCATTTTCTGTTCGATTCACTCCCTCTGGGACATCTGGCATTGTCCACTGTCGGCAGACCGGTACTGGGCTGGATGGACCTTTGTTCTGACCCAGTATGGCCATTCTTATGTTCTTATGATTCTTTGTGGGTATATTTTGAACATCAGAGATAAGAGGTTAAAAAAAATAAATAAAAATAATTAAAAAAAAAGGTTGATGAATTCATTCTCAGGCTATGTCTAGACTGCAAGCCTCTTTCGAAAGAGAGCGTCTAGACTGCACGCGGAATTTCGAAAAAGCAAGCCGCTTTTTCGAAAGAAAGCACCCAGTGAGTCTGGATGCTCTCTTTCTAAAAAGCCTGTTTGCTTTCAAGAACGCCTTCTTTCGAAAGAGCACTTTCGAAAGAAGGCGTTCTTCCTCGTGGAATTAGGTTTACCACCATCGAAAGAAAAGCCGCATTCTTTCGATTTAATTTCGAAAGAACGCGGCTGCAGTCTAGACGCAGGTGAAGTTTTTTCGAAAAAAGGCTACTTTTTCCGAAAAAACCCCTGAGTCTGGACACAGCCACATTGTGCAGTTTTCTTTCTATTTATGCAGTGTTGACATACTTTTTAAGAAGTCTTTCTACTTGTATACCACTCATATTTTAGGCACTTTATGACATACGTATAAGATTTTTGTCTCCTTTATAATCCTTCCTTATTTTACAGTCCAAATACCACAATATAACTAAGCACAGTCAGGGCATACTATCAATTCATCGCTTTCTCCACTAATTCTAATCTCTCTTTGCAAAATTACTGATATTAGGGATAAATGAAAGAACCTTAGTTAAAAACTCACATTTCTCATGTGAAAACTTGAACATGAACATAAGATAAGTAAGTAAATTCAGTTGCTGATGCAAGTGAAAACTAAGGACATGTCTATACTAGGAAACTATCTCAAAATTACTAAATTTGACTTAAAAACTTCCCATTTAATATGTTCAAACTAGCATGTCCACACTACGGGGAAGCCTCGAAATTAGTCTGAGGCAGGCTCCGTTAATATGGACAAGCTACCTCAGACTTAGATCCCCAAGAAGCACTGGGGAGTAATTAGTTTGAATTAGCAACGCCGGAGTGTCCACACTACCATTATTTCGGAATTAATGTTACTCCTGATGAAAAGCAGGAGTACAGACTTCAAATTACACGTCCCGTTATTTCGAATTAATGGGCTTGGTAATGTGGATGCTCCGCTTATAAATTATAATGTGGATGCTCCGCTTATAAATAACCTTGGAAGGGTTATTTCAAAATGAAGTCCTAGTGTAGACGAGGGTTAAAGGGGCATGGATATTGCTGTAAGTGAACTGATTTATAATTATTCACAAGAATTCCACATGCAATAAGGCAAAGTGACCTCTCTCCAAGTGTGATATGAAGGAACTACTACACTCTGCTTGGTGGGTGAGCTAAGGCAGCACCATCCCCTGTGTCAGAAACAGAGGGGAGGCACAGGAAGTATAAGACTCAGGCCCTTCAGCTCAGTTGGGTACTGGGCAGCTGACCGACTTGTCAGGCCGTGGGCATGGTGTGGAGTCCAGTTCTGATCTCCAGAAGATATGGGGCTTTGGGCAAAAGGGGCAGTGCTGGGAGCAAGCTTCCTTTAGTCAGCCCTTTTGCACCACTTGGTGCTTTGTCTGCCATTTAAAAGGTCTGGGGCTTTGGCCATGGCCATAGCCACGGTAGCGGTGGATGGAACTTCTGGGTTCTTTTAAATGGCCAAGCCCCAGGGCACCTGTCCCCTCTGCTTCTCCCTCCAGTCGGTGGGCCTGGTTGGGCCCAAATCAGATTAGCCTCCCTCTGTACTTGAGACTAAGCATGGTTACACCTGGAATATATTTTGCAGGATTTGCCCATCTTTAATATTATCCCACCTATTCTAAACCCAGAGGTCTACATGATGCCCTGGGAGACTGTATCTCTGTTTGCAAATAACCTGAATTATTTTATTTTATCCATTTTCTACAATAACTGTGGAAAAATTTACAAAGATATTGGCTTCAGAAATAGCTTCAGATGAAATATATTTAAACAATGGCTGCTGATTTGGCTACTGCTGTCCAGAACCTCTCATCAGAGTTCCAGCTGTCATTTTAAATGAGCTTCAGGCCAGAAGGGAGCATCACAACATCACATTTGACCTCTTGAATATCACAGGCCATGGATGCAACATCTGCATGCTAAATCCAAAAATGAAAACTAGACTGAAGAATTATAGACCACATGAGGTGAGACTAATATGTGCCACAGACAACAAATAAGAGAGACCAAGTTGCACCAGTGCCTGAAGTTGCACCATTTATGGTGGGTAAATGACGAAGTGAGATACCAGATATTTTACCATTTGGTTCAAATGCAATGGAAACATTTTGCTGCAGTCTGGGCCTGCCTATTTAATAATGACACCATCTACAACTAATTAACAACCTATTTAGATACAGCCTAAACAGAATATGAACAGAAGCATGAAGCTATAGTGACAATCAAAGCAGATAACTGAAATGTAGTAAAATGGAAAATACTATAAAAATACCAATTTTATCATTTTATGTTCTTAGTAGAAAAATATGAAAAAGGAGACTTTTTAAAGGTACATCTTATTAGGTCTTACACTTTGGTTATATATGTGCTGTTTTATGCTTTTGCACTGTTCAAATGTAAAATAGAAAAAAAGAACCATATCACAAATGCATTTCAAAATGTGTTCGGATTTTAAATCTATTCCAGAGAAACTTTACTAGAAGAAGAAGGGAAAAACCTTTATTCTAAAATATCTTCACCTATTATTTCTAAACATTTTAGAAATAGCAGTGACAGAAAATAGAATATTCAGGAGTGAATAAGCACCCCCTCCCAAACAACAATTCACAGCAACCTCTTAAGAAAAACAAAGATCAAAAGGTTTTGTTTTTGTGTTTTTTGTTTTTAAAAAGCCAGAGGTATCATCAGGACTGAAAAATGCTGAAATTCTGTCCAAGTTCCATCACCTGGCAAAGGTAACACATTTTAAACACTTCCTTATGCCACTGTACAAAGCTAATCCTTGGTGTGTGTGTGGGTTATTTTTATTTATTTTTTTTGCCAAACTATGGTGGAAAGGTCATTGTGTGTATATATATTGCTACTGGGAAAAAAATAAAAATTGCCCAGATTGTGTGTGTGTGTGTGTATGGGTGTGTGCGTGCGTGTGCGCGTGCATATGTTACATATAATTTTTTTTAGCATGTATATGTTTGTCTGTCTGTGAGTCCATTTGTTCAAGAACTTCTCCTAAGTGGTAAGAGGTATGGTCACCAAATTTGATATGCAGCTTCCTTTTCTCCTTACTTAAAGCGTGGTCAGCGTCCAGTTGTGCCAGGACACCCAGAAGCCTAAGGAAAAGGACATTTCCCCCCATAATATACAAAGGGAAGGGTTGCTGTTCCAAGGGATGCTAAATGAGAGTGGTCACTGGGGCCAGTGAGCACAGAGGAGAGCAGTCTTGCAGAGTGACCACTGGGGGTAGCCATACCAAGAAGGGAGCATCCAGCAAGGCTGGCACTCTGCCATCTTGCCTGCCAGCACACCAGTAAGTAGCCCTCTGCCCCAAACTCTTCGCCCCCAGCCATTGACCGCTGTCTTGGAGGGGAGAGAGAACAGGTCCCTCATGGCTGGGTGGGATGTGACTGGGGTGGAGGAAGAACAGGTCCCTGGCTTCCAGCGTCCTGCACCTCTTCATATATATCCCCAAGGCCCTGCCCTGAAGGACCCAGACAATACTGAGTATGACTTCTAGTAGTTAATAGTTTAAAAGTGCTGCCCATTTGAATTTCTTTCCACTGTACTTTGAGGGCTGCAACTATTCACTAAAATCATCTGATAGCACTTTCTTGGCCTTAATATAAGAAAGCTAGATGGAATGTGCCACAATATTCCATAAAAATATTTTAAAATCTAGTTTGTGCAAACAAACTGCTGAAAATACTAGATAAAGCACAATGAAATTATACATTAATACAGAGATAAAGTGGAACTGAACAAGCACTTCCTTGCTTTACAGAAGCCAGCTGCTCCTGCTCTCTTTCTCCAGGCCTAACTCCCATTGCTCTTAGAGCTGCATAAGGAGTGCAGGATCATACTGAGTACTGCTTGCAGACTATTTCTGTTACTATGATTGATACAAGCAGTGTAACACACTGGCACTTGTAGGACAATCATTTAAATATTAAACAATGTTTGTGACTGTCTCATTCACACTGTGGCCTTGATCCCCTTCTGATGCTGTTTCTGTAGAAAAGGGTGGAAATGTTATTCCAAAAATCCTAAAAGATTGTGTTTCCATATTACACTTGCCAAACAGTTCTCTCAAGTGAAATGCAGAGTGCCATGCTCTTGGGGAACAGTACATAAAAGAGGAATTGCACTTGGTTGAAAACAGTGCTGTGGGTTCTGTGGTTTTTATGCCACTAACCATGGGTAGTGAAGAGTAAGAAGTTACATATGGTATCATGACTCAGATAACGGGACATCTTTCTCCTGAAACTACGGCTCCTATTCAGTATAAATCACTAGTCATATGGCTGTTACTATGGTAGAAAGCCATCTTCCAGTTGTCCATTGTTCTGATGAAAAATAAAATATGACAAACTAACGTTTGTGTCGACTTTTCACCAGATGAATACAGTTGTGAATCAGGCCACCCATTCTTTTTATTGAACATATAGTTCATTGCAGTATGGTTTGTGGTAATACCTTTTGGATGGTCAATGAATCAGTCACTTCCAAAGTATCAGAAGTCAAGTACAAAAAGAAGTTAGACTGGTTCTTTAGACAACATGCTTATGTGTAACCTGCACCAGAGCAACAGAGTAAGTTACTCCTTTTCTTAAATAGAATTCAGCATATTGACCTGAAACTGGACTTTCAGTTATGTGAAAATGACAAAACTGGTGTTTAATTTTGGGGCTATATTATATTCACAACAGGGTCGGACCCAGGTAGGCGCTTCCATTTTTTGTGAAAACTCAAATGTTTCAGTGGAAAACTTAGACAAAAATGAAATTTGTTTTAATGAAAAACAAGGTGAAGTAGGAAAATGGGAGGGCATTTTCTGACAATCTCTAGTCTAGATGGTGAAATGCTCAGGAATTTTTTTGCTACACTGAAGTGTCTGTGTTCCCTGATTAGTATCTTTACTAGTATAGCTTTTTTAACTACTTCATACGAATTGTTAGTTCACTGCAAACACTGTGAAAAAAACCCTGTTGAATCTGAGGCCTGGTGTATATTAGGAAATTAGGTCAGTATTGTTATGTCAGTCCAAGGTGTGAAAAATCCGGATCTATGAGCAATGCAGTTAAATCGTTCTCAATGCCTGTGTCCACAGCATTCTGCCAGCAACCTGGCCCTTCTTCTCAGGAATGTGGATTACTTACGCAGTGAAGAAGCCCTCCTTTTGCATCAATAGTATCTATATTGAAATGCTAAAGCTCCCTGCCCACAGGGGCTGCTGCTGCCCCATGTTGTGTCTGCAGTTTTTAAACTGGCTCCCCACGCAGACCAGCTCCGCCTGCCACCCCATGCTATTGCCTCTACCACAATCTGGAAATGGCTGTTTTAGGGGGATGACATTTAACTACAACTTTGCTTTAGCAACTCATGAAATTAAATCCTTGCTGCTTTGTTCTCTTTTGGCAAAGTAACCACAAATGTGACTGCCAGCCAGATTGTTTTTTGCATACTCCAAGTATATATTCCACCTCCTGAGTTGTTGTCAACAAATATTTTTATTGTAAAATTGTGGGAGAATGAAAATTCAAGTGGGAGGTGAAAAGCCAATTATATTCAGAAGTTATGTCTGGTAAAATTGGATCATTGACTGAGACCTTTACAGAACATCCATGCTGTGCTTATTGGAAAATAAATATGTTTCCATTAGGTTCAAAGAACACCTGTAGAAAAAACAACTTTTGAAATTCTCATTGGGATTCTATCTGAATCTCCAGGCATGCTAAATACCTTTGAAAATTTGTCTCAAGGTTTATTAAGGGGAACAAAGGTCTAATGTAAAAACTATTCATCCCAGAAGAGTTGTTTACTGGCACTGGGCATCTTGGTGCTGCCCCGAGAATAATTATCTTTGCATGTTCAAGAGCACTGAATTCATTACAACATAACATAAGACTTTAATTTAGATGTAACTCTATTTTCAAATATATTATTCTTTGTAGGAAATTGAGGGATACGTGAAGTGCCAAGATTGGGAATGTAGTAAATAGGGAGATTTCCAATGCTTTAAGGTTCAGGATCAGGAGACTGGCAAAGAGTAGTGATGCCATCGTAACAGATTGCCTAGCACCTTAATGCCAAGATCATCATCCTTTTTCCCACTTTGCTGCAATTTTTTTACATATAACCTTTTAAAGTCATTTTTTTCCACTTATCTATCACTGTTAAACTTTCAAAATAGTTTAAAAAGAACAAATTATTTGTTTTGTTAAAATTTATGCTACAAATAGTAAACAGGAGTATTGCTGCTATTTTGGCCATTGGGTTATCTTCAGGCTATGGAAGAAATGACTGCTGTTTAGCTTATGAACGAAAATGTGTGTGTTTCTATCACGGATTGAGAGACGCTCCAGAGCTGAAAAAGCTAGTTTAATTTTTGATGTCTCATTTTTATTTTAGAAATAACTTTTAAAAAATATTTGTGACAACTCAGTTGATGCAGCAAGGTTGGGCAACGCTGGGAAAAATGTCAATTTTTCATAATTAAACTTTAAATAACTGCAGAAAAGTCTTTATTCTGTAACAACATGGTTGTATACATGGTGACAAAGTGACCATTCAACATTTGGGGATTGTATCAATAAGGTCTGATTTTCCTGCGTCCTTTCTCTCACTGGTATGATTGCTGAGATACTCAAGCCAGGACGTTTATAATAACTTCCTGCATAACTGGTGAAATTAGAGTTTCCAATTATTGAATAAAGATTGTCTTTTCACCCAAATGTTTTCACGTTTCACAGCAAAGTAGGAAAAGCCCTGGTGTGTGCTTTATTTAATTTCACGCCTACAATGGACTCTATGCTTCAGCATGGCTCAACTCAAAAAGCCCATTTTGACATGCTCCCCATGTTATGGGGATGCAACTTGCTTTGGTGAAATAACAATGTCTGTGTGTGTGGTGGACCTGATTCTACACTCGCAGCCCATGTCTATAATACTAGGAAGTGGTGTGATTTCCAGCTTATGTATGTATTCTTGTGCTAGTGTTCAGCAAGCTAGGGGGCACTAAAATAGTGTAGCCATGGTAGTGTGGGCAGTAACAGTCATGGCACATAGCACAGCCACCCCAAGTATAAACCAATCTGAGCTCCCTGAGGTAATATTTGGGGCACTTAGTCCATGATGCTATTGCCTGTGCTAGCACAGCTACACTACAATTTTTAGTTCTTAGCTCAGCTGAGAAGCAGTGTGAGTTAGGGTATGTAAGCAAGGATTCACTACTTAGTTTGTAGTGTAGCAGTAGTCTCATTTTGCGCTGGCATAGATGACTGCAAAAGGTACAGGGTTACATAGCGTGTCCATAAGGGTATGTCTACACTACCCTCCTAGTTTGAACTAGGAGGGTAATGTACGCATACCGCACTTGCAAATGAAGCCCGGGATTTGAATTTCCCGGGCTTCATTTGCATAAGCGGGGCTCCGCCATTTTTAAATCCCCGCTCGTTCGAAACCTGTGCCGCGCGGCTACACGCGGCACGAACTAGGTAGTTCGAACTAGGCTTCCTAGTTCGAACTACTGTTACTCCTCATTCCACGAGGAGTAACGGTAGTTTGAACTAGGAAGCCTAGTTCGAACTACCTAGTTCGTGCCGCGTGTAGCCGCGCGGCACAGGTTTCGAACGAGCGGGGATTTAAAAATGGCGGAGCCCCGCTTATGCAAATGAAGCCCGGGAAATTCAAATCCCGGGCTTCATTTGCAAGTGCAGTATGCCTACATTACCCCGCTAGT